GGAATGCTTAAGACTGAAACGGAGGAGGAATTCAAGAAATAACCTAACTAGAAGTTAACAGACGGACCTTTTCAATGAGTTGATCAAAATACATATTTCGAGTTACTTACCTGAAATAACGCCACCGCCAGCAATCCCTAGGTCCGGCTGGGCTACATCTGGGATCGCGGGATATGCAGGGGAGTTCCAGGATAATGGCAACAGTGACGGTGTCACCGCTTCTGGCGTAGCCTCAGTCGATGATGAATCATCTGTAGACGTGGGACTGGCCAACTCCAAACTAGGATCAAAGGATGCGGGCAGAAAGCCCAGGACGAAGAAGTTGTAGAAGTCTCCTCCCGTCTCCAAAGGTCCCGTAGGACCTTGACTCCAGTAAACACCTATGTTTCTTTCGGTTATCGTCGTGCCGTTCTCAAGCTCAACAGTAATTGTCTCTCCAGGAAAAAAAGGAGTTAGTCCGCTGAAAACATTGAACGCCCCTTGAATATCCTGAGCAAAACTGAACATAAGTCGGTTCCAGTCCGTATCAGGGTCTACCGAACCAGCGACATTTCCAGCAGCGAACGTCTCTAGATATGTTGTAGCGTTCTGGCCATTTATTGATTTGATGGCTGATGGAGTAAAAGAAGTGAAGACGTTACTATCGAACACGTCCGTCCCTATGTATACCTTAGGTGCTTCCACCCCATCGACCGAGAGCGAGACGATGTCGAATGGGCTCCCAAAAGAAAAAGCCGAGAGGATACCGGCATTGAGGAATAAGTGATCATCGTGTGCATTATTAACGAGTAATTGCAGAGCCGCTTCGAACTCATACTGGTTCGCGAACGAACCGCTGTTCACCGCGTCTTGTAAGGATTGGAGTCCGCCTATTAGGTCAACACTTGGCTGTTGATATGTTGATGGCGGGTTCTTTAGATAAGAGAGAGTGCTTTGAAAACTCAAGGTATCGTTGTAATACTTTAGAAATCGTGTGGCGACAGCCGGATTAAAAGGGACACTGGTTAGGCATTCGTAGACTAGACTGGCGTCGAATACGAAGGCACCTATGTGAGTGTTAGCAAGATCTCCCAACTGATGACTTGATAGTGCTTTTACCGTCAGGATCATTAACTATTGTGCTACATGCCGGTTGAGAAGGCTGCGGAGAGGCCGTCGTTTCCCCCTGAGCTGAAGTTAATGAGGCGCCCAGCACCGTGAAAATGAACGAACGTAACCACCAGTGGCACGCCATTATTAATACAGTTACATCATGAAAGGACCACTGTAGATAGGAAATTCTGATAAGTTGACGTGAATTGTATATATATTTGCATTGAGAGCTGCAACCCTATGAAGTCGATTATTCTTAATTTTAATCCTTCGTGACCCCGTAGGGCTTGTAAGTCTCATTGTACGTCTGATATGCACAACTCATCACGCAAATGTTATCCTTCTGGACTTAACTCCGATCTATCACAATCCTACAGAGCCCCGTAGGGCTGGCAGCAATCACTTTTGATAACATGCACCTAGACTTCTATGCTGTTTCGATATCTTATTTTAGAGCTTCTGTTTCACAGCAGTTTCGGTCGATGCACGCTGGGGCACTCCAACTTTACCCCAATATTAGGGCAGAGGCTTGGGAGACCCATGCCTGTCAATCTCATGCGCCACCTGTTATCAGACGGAAGGACCGTGGCCGTGCAGGGGAAGTTCGCTCGCGTGGGTTGATCAATTGTTTTGTGTGGGCGAATACGGCCGAATTGCTGAAACACAGATGCTAAGATGCAGTGCAACTCTGCCTTTGGATTCCTCCTCGGGACCGACGAATGCCTGCCCGTTTTGGCCTTTACTGAATCCTTCGCTCCTAAAAGAGCAAACTCTCACATATTCGGGTCTGACAATGTTTATCATCTAATGTAGATAGCATAGTAGAATGCGGAGATATGCCCCCAAAGGTTCAGAGAGTTATACAGAAGTCTCACTCCAAGCAGGGAAGTCTATAAGGTTGTCCTAGTATAAATAAATTTATGTCTCATGAAATAGATGCGGTAAAATAATATGTGAGATTATCAACTGGTGCTCCTTAACTATCATTTGTGAACACCGAGCATCAAACTATTCTTTGAAAGCACAAATTGGAACAACATCATGGCTGTCGACGATCCACCGAAGTTTGTCTATCCCAAACTTGCACCAACTCACAACACTATACGTGTCTTGAAAATCCTATCAAGCCCCAAGGAACGCCCAAGAGTTTCGCTTGAGGAAGTCAATCTTTCCGAATCGCCGCCGCCGTCATACAGATGTCTCTCATACACATGGGGTGATCCTCTTGATCGAAGTCTTTCTTCGCCTGAGAACCGTATACCAATGTCTGGTGAATGTGACCACTACGTGGAAAACGACGAAGATGGCTCTGCCATTATGGTTACTGAGAACTGTATCGATGCCCTTCAGCAGATTAGTCGCATCCAATGCCCCGATGATAAAGGGCAGATGCCTTCCTGGTGGATTGATGCAATATGCATGGACCAAGATAATAAGGAGGAGAAGAACGCTCAAGTCGCTAGTATGTAAACATCCCTAATTGGAGAACAGACTATCGTATAAAAAGTTCGCAAATATTACTGAAACATCTTCATTTCAGGCGTGAAAATCATTATTTTACTAATCAGATCATAGTGATGGACCAAATCTACCAAAAAGCAGAGGGCGTGCTGGTATGGCTCGGCAAAGAGGACGAGCACACAGGGGTAGCGATTAAAGTCTTGGAAAGCTTAGCGCGTGTATCTCCTACCTTAGCCAAAACGCCGAGAACCCTTCGCTCCTTCAACATGGACAGCTTCCGAATCCTCGACTCTCTACACGGAGTGTGTAAGGACATAGGGATGCAGGATGTCCGCTTGCAGGATTTAGTTCACTACGCGGCGTTCTTAGAGCGCAAGTGGTTTACTCGCATGTGGGTTGTCCAGGAGAGCTTCTTCTCTGCGGCCACGACTGTCTTCTGTGGCAAATGCGAGATCAAATGGGCGATGATTCAAGACTCGTCTCGAGTCCTGGCCCAGACTGGTATGGACACCTTGCTGAAGGCCTACGTCAGCTACGCAACACAGTACAGTCTGGACGCGGGTGCTATCAGACTTCCTGATAATCGTCTCAGTAATCAGTTGATATTCGGATCGCTACAAAGAGGCACTACAGAGGCTATAGGTCTGGGGCAGCTCTTGTCCTATAGCAGGTCCTTTGAGGCCTTGAAGCCTAGTGATAAGGTATACGCCGTCTTGGGACTGTGGAAATACATGCGAAGTAATGGGGCGGACCACATTGAAATAGCGCCCGATTACGAGAAAGATACTTCCGATGTTTATATCGAAGCTACAATTGCTGCGATACACGAGTCGGGGAATTTGGATGTCTTAAGTCTCATCGAGGGCGCTTCGAGCGAAGGGACGATCGAGCTGCCGTCATGGGTACCCGACTATAGTCAGGGGCCGCAGGTGTATCCCCTGATCCAACCTTCCAGGCCCATGTCGTACTTGGTACGCTTGCATGACAAGTTCGAGGTCCCCAAAGACAGCAAGATGCGATCTTTACCAGTTCAAGGCTTTCAGCTTGACGTCATTGAAGACGTTGCGCCGGCCTATAGCTCCATCATGAACGAGTTTGAGCTTGGTTCGTTGCTGTATCTGCTATACACATATCCGCAGGCCCAATACCCTACCGGCATATCTCCCTGCTCTGCGTTTTGGAAAACGCTGATCAAAGACACCTTTCGCGGAAGCCAGGCAGGTATAGAGGCGCAACATGCCTTCCCTGCGTTTGTCATGCAACGCATGCGAGAGATGAGGAAGGAAATCGGAAATCTAGAAAGCTTCGACGAGGTGCAATGGGCGGCTGAGCTTAAGGTGGTCCTAAGTGACACAGAGCTCATAATAGAGACTCTGTCTTCGAGATATAGCGAAGACGAAGCTATCCCGACACTACAGAAGATCGAGGACATGGTTAGGGTTGAAGAGGAGCAGGAGGGCTCACCGGAAGAGCAGAAGTTGGAATCGGATCGGAAGGATATAGAAGAAAGCTTCCGGATTGCGTATTTTCGGCGAAGGCTCTTCAGAACAGCTACGGGTTACTTTGGCATCGCATCCCAGTCCGTAGCGCCCGGCGACACGGTCTGGATCGTGTCTGGTGCGAGAGTACCCTTTGTCCTAAATTCAGTGGATGCGGACGAAGGGCGATGGCGGCTCATTAGTGAGACCTATGTCCATGGGCTTATGCATGGTGATGACCCGACCGGTGAAGCATCTCTTAGGCATATATCTCTGATATAAGTAAAGTGTAATGGGGGCTAGAAGTCCAGAGCTTGGAGGATCTACTAAGGCACATATAAATCTAGCACACACTCTCTTTCGCTTTGATCCGCTTCGCCTTGCCTATTTTATCTGCGAACTGTTGCTCATATAATTACTCGATATCTATCGAAGCCCTGGCCAGGGTCTCGGAACGTGAACCTGAGATTACCATCACTTGTGCTCTCTTATTTGAAGTCGACGCCGCTCTAAGAGCTCTTCGACCGACATTGGGACAACGATGACGCACTTTATGATAAGTCTTGCTCGCACACATGGTGGGCATTGAAACAATGCGAGTGGAAAATTAGCTAGTGGGGGGACTGACTGACTGATTTTTATGTGTAGAATATTGAAGGGTGAGAAGGAAAGGGGAGATCTCATCTAGGAACATCTAACTGACATCTAGCTTTTTGTTGATGTTCGAATTATTTCGCACGATACCAAAAAATAAATTCCCCGTTCCTACTAACCTGTGCTGTGGAGCCCCCGCTTTAGATTTGGTGTGTGAAATTTGAGTTCCGCGATGTTACCCCAGATCTAGAACAACATTGAACGGCCCTGATTGATTCGCAGGGCAGATCTACTGCTAAAACTTACGCGTTGGTCTCTAAAGGATATGCATGACATTATTCATTTCCAAATATTTCCAAAAAGATCAATAGGAATAGAACCCGACGATTTGAACGGATGATTCTGGAGGCAAATACATTAACATTGGAACAGTAGACTGCAAGCTGGAATCAGATGCTCTACCGCTGAGCTACAGGTCCCAACGATGGAGGCTGGATGTTTTCCAATAGTATATATATTATACGCCGCTTAGGGTTGAAATATGCTCTAAACTTTTGCATGGTTTGACTGATAATGAACAACTATTTATTCTATTTCGAGAAAGCGAATCCTGCTAATTGATAACATTGGCGAATAGCATCGAAAATGCTATTCCATGGAAACTGGTTGTCACACGGACTGGCCCGCAGATAGGGGAATGCAGCTACCACCATACCAGGGCCAGGTCGGCGACATCGTGTAACCAATCTGCAAGTCGGTGTTTGAAATACTCGGCTGCCCGTGTTTGCTTAAAGCCACGACAATAACAAACCCCGGACCTGAATTGTCTAGGCTGGCAAGAGCGAAGCTATTCGTACGAGTATAAGCCTAGGTTTGAGAGCTCGAAGGAAGAACGTAGACCTGTATGGCCTCCTCGATGCCCAAGAAGATTATTGCAATATTGAATACCCCTCCAAGCCCTAGATACCTAGCCCTTGTTACACTAGTGCTCTACTGTCTGTTAGCCGATGCTCTGGTTCGGAAGGGGACGGATCTATTATTATATGTCACAAGACTGGACAACTATAACTATGAATTTCAAGACCATGACATGGCCAAATTTCCTAAAGCAGCTAACTTTCGTTCTGTGGGCGAGGAGGCATCTTTCATAGAACGAAATTCCATTGATGAGGTTGCTGGGTATGGAAAATAACGGACTGATAATCTGGAACGCATGCATGGCAGCTCTCGTGTCTTATGATGGCACTCGAACATGATTTTTGACTTAATATTCGCGTGTGCTCTTAGGCGTGCTTTCCAATCCATTTTGAAGTAAGTATGAATCTACTACTTATACATACTGTAATCGACCAAAGAGATCAAAATTTGGCCTCGGAATCCCCTTTAACCTTCCTAGTATTGGTTTTGTGACATAGGTAGCCTTCGGTTGAAGCACTTCCCCGGATGAAGGTGGGGCCCTTACGCCACATATCTACATGTGCCTAAGGTAGTCCTAAACACAATATTTCACGTTCTTATTTAAACCATAGGTTTTTTAACCGGAAATAGAATCTATGAGCATAGGATGACCCTAGAAAATTGCATAGACAAAGATGTACCTAAGGTACCTAGACTACCTGCCTAGGTACTAGGTAGCTTACATGTAGGTAGGTGCATTGAGCAGTACCTGGCTTGTTTGCTATTCAATGTTTCGAGACCCACTATAATATATGTAAATTCACGGGGTCACCCAGGCACATCACGATCTTCTTGTCTCATCATCATATTATCCTGCCTGTCAACCATTCTGATATTCCAGACACAGCCAACCTAAGGTAAGCAGGCACCTATTTCCGGATCCGTTACTGGTTAAAGCAACCTGATCTGTCCCGTACTTACATGCCTTATGAAGCCTACTTCTGCATTCTAGCGCAACCAAACGACTCATCCCTTTGGATGTTACGTGAAAACCAGTTATGGCAGCGCCGTGCATCTTCTTCCAACAAGGACGCTGTAGAAATGGTGACGCCTGCCGCTTCAGTCACTCTTCTGCTCCTATTACCCATCCACAGTCGGACCCTCGGGCCCAGGTACCGTGCAAGTTTTACTTAGAGGGCATCTGCAAACATGGCACCAAGTGTCCGTATCAGCACGAGCCATCAGATTCATCGGCCTCGGCCCAAGCGTCTCCTCAACATGACAACGACACCTTCATTCGAGTCTTTCGTGGCGCTCTCGTCCGCTATGGAGACGGCGCTTGTGTCACTAGTCTCTCTCTACCTTCCGAGTACTCGTCAGTCCGATTAGACGGTCTAGCCGCCAACACAACCGCTGCCGATGTCATTAGCGTTCTGGAAGACCTTGGTCACGACATCGAGATCGATGGTTTACGAATTGTAGCCATGCCTCGATCTCTCTCTTCCCTTTGCAGTGCCTATATCAGTACTCCGGATCTCGAGTTCTCCAAGACACTGAGCGCGAGTCTGATAGATGCCCCATACCGCAATCTAAAGGCCGTGCCAGTGCCCCCAAGGCTTCCATCATGGGCATCTACTCGACGAGCTCGTTGCAATAAATTGAAGCTGAAATGGACCTCACCCCGCAGTGAGTGTTGCGTCTCATTCAATTCATACGCGACTGCGTTGAGAGTAAGTGGAAAGTTCAACGGCGGCAAATACAAAGTTCGTAATACGCGCATTCACTGCGACGAGCCTTTTCTCGAACCAATTACCGGAATGTGGTCCGTTATGCTATCGGGACTACCTTATCGCTGCACCGAAGAAATGGTGGAAGACTCTATCACAGCTGACTACGACGAACCACAAGAAATTGTTGTACCACGCCGCCGCGCGTGGAAAAGAAATACCGAGACCTCGATTAAGGAGCTGCTTGATGACATTGGCCCCATCGACTTCATGACAGAACCGTATGAACACAAGGGCGGATTATACACAGCGTATGCCCACTTCGAACAAGACTGTGATGCACAGGAAGCTGCGCGAGTCGCTGAAGAAAGATCTCACATATTACCCTATGATGTCAATCTTAAAGTCACACTTCTGTATAGCTCAACGTTCAAGGTATCGAAAGAAGTGTACCATCACATTCAGCAACGCCTCCAAGACTGCCTAGACGAACTAGATGCGCCGCGACTGAACGTAACATGTCGGGAAACTTGCCCCGTCTTGAGTCTTGATAGCCAGAGCTCTGAAGAGCTTGCAAAATGCGCTAATGCGATTGAAGAAATTGTGGCCGGTGACGTGATCGTGGGAAAAGACGGCAACCCTTTCTGGGTTCCCCAGCTTGCTTGTAACGGGTCAGGCTCTAAAGTATTGAAAGAGATTCAGCAACGCCATGCAGTGCTACTTCTGCCCAACAGATCAAAGCGCGAGGTTCGGTGTTTCGGAGACTCGCGGAAACAATTGGTAGTTCAGGATGACGTGGTTCGATCTCTCACTGAAGACCTAGAAATACGCCATACCATCGATGTTGACAATGATGGGTTCGTCTGGCTTTGCAAAGTTGGGTTAGGCCTGCTGAAGGACGTGGTAGGGGACAGAGTTGTGTCCCTCAACGTGACAGCAAATCCGAAGAAGCTGATAATCACCGGTTCTGACGAAGAATACTGCCAAATTCTGGCACTCCTCGAGATGAGTAACATCTCCTTCGCCGTGAAAGAGGCTAGATCAGAGGAAGAAAGTTGTAGTATCTGCTTCACGCCAGCCGATGAACCGGTCGTGCTTGGCTGTGGGCACACTTACTGCACCGATTGCTTCAAGGGGCTTTGCAGAAATGGCACAACACAAGCAGATATTAGTGTCGCCTGCACGGGTGCAGAAGACAAGTGCAAGAACGCCATTCCCCTAAGAGAAATCCAAGCCCACGTCGACATATCGACGTTTGAACAGCTCCTGGAATCTTCGTTCAACATGTACATTGCCCGCCGACCTGACGAGTTCCACTACTGTCCGACGCCCGACTGCGGTTACATATATCGTCCGGCCAGCGCCTCAGCGTCCTCGTCGTGGCACATGTGTACAAAGTGCCTGCAGCGTATCTGCCGATCGTGCCATGCCAATCACGACGGCCGACGCTGCGATCAGTACCAGGCCGCGCAGGCTTTCGAGACCTACAAGCACGAGAACAGGGACAATGTAAAAGATTGTCCGAGATGCAAGACCACAGTAGAGAAGATCGATGGCTGCAACCACATCCATTGCGGCGGGTGCAAAATTCATCTCTGCTGGGTGTGTCTGCAGACGTTCAAAGAGTCCCGCGCGTGTTACAATCATATGACTGAAACCCACGGCGGGATTGGCATTGATGAAGACGATAATATTGATGTTGATGAAGATGACGACGATGATGATGAATAGAATGGCAGGGTTTTTCGTTTAGAACGGTTGGTTAGGGCACCTTCGTGAAATAACAGTGGGTTTTGTAATAGTTTCTAATCCTCGTCGGTTCCTGTGGTGGGTGAGGTCTAGCTGAACGTATTAAAGGTATGTACTTAGGTGTGTAAATGATAGTGTCTTGATCTTTCATGTCATAGTGAATCCAAGTCAGCTACTTTTTTATCCTTGAGTACGTTGTTTGTCATGCATCAATATTACTATGTCACGACCTCTGGATACTGATAGCAACGTAGGGATAAGTCTTGAATACTTGTTATCCCACAAGGAGCTCCAACTACTACATCTACAGGCTAGAGGTCTCCTTGCACTTTCTCTGGAATCCTATCTTTCAAACTTAACGTCAATTCCATTTTTTGTTATCATACTTTGTAAGCAAAAGGCCTCCGGTCGTATCCCTTTGCAGCCAACACGGCTGATATAATAAGCCCTTTGCATATAACCTTACTAATTACCCCAGGCATAAATTAAATGGCCAGTTCGTCATAATAAGTAAGACTGGAATACTATTCGGTTGTCATCCCTTCATGTCACGGAATAGAATTGCAGCACTATATGACGACACTATCCAAAGATAGAACGTTGCCAAGTCTCCGACTTGACCGTCTGCAGTCACTTATTTAATTGGAGCCGCAACACTCATTTTTCTATTTTCCTACCACGCTGCCTTTCTTGCTCCTATTATTTATTGTTGATGAACCTTCACATGAAGATGATATACAATATCCTCAAAAAACATCTGTTCTCTTATCCACGCCCTGACTCGCACTCCATTCGACATGACAATCGAAGCTCCGGCGTTCTGATCATATTTGCTCTCCAGATTTTGGATAGCATAGCGGACCTGTGTAGTGCTGGGATTTTTGTATTTCTCAGTAACTATTGGAAGAGTCGATAAGCGGGCAGCCACGGAGTCAAGTGTGTGCGTTTCAAACTCTGTAATTTTCTCTCTCAACCAAATCTCTACGTCTACAAGGTGTAGATATATCCAAGTATATCGGAAAACGAGGATAGCTACGTTGGAAGAGCCTGGATTTAGTCCCAAATTCTGTAGAAGAACCCATGCGGTCAGATTTAGTTCGCAAGGG